CAGGTGATGTCAGATCTTGTTTAGATTAAGCCTGGAATTTGGGGACATGGTCCTTCATGAGCAATATATCTTGATGCTTATTCAAACTGCAAGGCACATACTGATGCAGGCACAAACAATTTCAGCAGAGATGACTAGCATTTATAGTCTGGTTCTCCTGAGAAAAGAATGAGATTGTGTCATTCTTACTCTCCATCTAGGGGCTACTTCTGGTAGAACTATGGACTAAAACCTCATTTTAACTGCAATAAACTTCATTTGGCTTATGAAGACTTGATATAAGGAACTGTAGGGAAAGCAAATGGGCACTTTTGAATGTGTTTGTGAAGTGTATCATATAAATAGACTTAGAGGATTTGAAAGGGGGACACTGATTTTTATGCTGGCTTATCAGAGTGCTACCTATTTTGTTATTTATGAGAGAGAAAAGGAAATACTACTGGAATGTGAGATGATGTCTGTGATGGAAAAGGATGAAGAGTGTTTAATACCTTATGCTAACTATGGCCTATTTGCATGAAGTTATAAGAAGACTTTCTGAAGGGGAACAAAACAGACCTTATATTCAAATACTGACTTTTAATTGCTCAAAAATGTCCTGAGTCATTTTACTGTGGTCTAAGTTTTCACCTGGTGAGACAGATAGGTATCTGATGGACAATTATGAACTGGTGGTCTATCTACTTAATGGCGATGAGAGGACCAAAAGATTATAGTGGACCACAGGAGAAAAGAAGAAAAAGCAGCATGGAGATCAGAAGAAAAACAGCTGGGGAAGATGTAGCTACTTATGAGCAGAAGTCTGGTTGTTCAAACTAAAGTCATCACAATGCGTTATACATCTGTTGCCTTCAGAGAAATGCCTTCAGATCTACTTCTCTCTCAAAATAGCTATTTTATCTTTACTATCATCCACAGAACATGGTTGAATTTGTTGATTTAGGACAGTCAAGAGTAGTAGAGTGCTGTTTATTGTATGAGCATTTTCCCAGTCTCTCAAGCAAGGAAGTCACTAATTATGAATTGGACTGTAACTATCTACAGATACATTCCTAACTTAAGACTTTATTTAATTAAGGAAAATTATAAAATGACAATAATGAGATCCTCAGTATTATTTTCATGGCTCCCAGGGGACCTGAAACAATATTTAAAATTTAATTTTGTATGAGTGGTCACTGTTTTTGCAATATATACAAGATACTTTGGTGGTCATCAGAATGTCATCAGAATGGTTTGGTTTGCCCTGTTTTAACAGGTGCTTGATACCTAACATATTTGGATATTTTAATTGTTTGTTAACATATCAAACTCACAGAGTAATAGTTTGGGACTATAAAGTAAACTACTCAGATGTTCATTCTTAGCTAGCTCAATGACATGAGCATCCCCTTCTATTTTCTCTGTTACGGTACATAAAAGAATGCAATTATCTTTTCAGTGACTTACTACTTATGAACTTGAATTATCACCTGTTTACCTACCTAGGTATCATTTGTTTAAAGAAAAAAATGACCACGTCTCAATCTTTCTTTACTTATTTCCACATGAAGAAGTTTAACTTTCTAATTGTTTCTTAATCTGCATGAACTGCATTTATTTCACAGATAAAATGGCCATTTTCATTTTTTTTGTTCTTACAAAAAATTGTTAGGCATTATTACCTGTAACAAAACAAATGGTACAGAGGAGGGCCCTGACTCAACAGGTGTTGATAGCTGTTGGTTTAGAGTTTTGTAAATGAATAAACTTTAGATAAGACATTTATTCTGTACTAGTTTTCTGAATGGTAAGTCATGTAAGAATTGATGTTGCGCCGGGAGCTGGTGGCTCACGCCTGTAATCCTAGCTACTCAGGAGGCTGAGATCTGAGGATCGCGGTTCAAAGCCAGCCCGGGCAGGAGAGACCGTGAGACTCCTATCTCCAATAAACCACCAGAAAACCGGAAGTGGCGTTGTAGCTCAAGTGGTAGAGCACTTGCCTTGAGCTGAAGAGCTGAGGGACAGCACCCAGGCCCAGAGTTCAAGCCCCACGACCGACCAAAAAAAAAAAAAAAAGAATTGATGTTGCTTTGAATTAAAAGTGCCAATGGGATATAACTTCTAAATTTTGCTATTGAGTCAAATGCACATTTGCATACTATAAATGTGCATAGCTTGACGAAGACGCTTGTTGCTATTAACATTCTATGAATGTTGTTATACTGATATGTAAAACTTGGCCAATAAAAGAAGGGATACATTTGATTAAAGTACATCATATATTTGTATGGAAGTATTACACTGAAACTATTTTGTACAACTAATACTGTATACACTAACAAAAACGTATAACAAATAAATTGCTGCAAATACAACCCACTAATAAATGTCATTGAAGTATTTTCCAAAGTATTTCTCAAATGTTTATTGAGACGGTCTTCAGTTGAAACATCTGGTAGATACTCCATCAAATGATCAAGATTAACATGAATAGTAGTAAGACTACTGTGAGCTGGAGGTGTGATTCAAGTGGGTAGAGCACTGGCCTATCAAGTATGAGGTCCTGAATTATAAAATAATTAAAAAGATAAACTGACACCACAGTCTTCTGATATGTGCTGAGAAAAACATATAATCAGATGGGCATAATAGCTCACACATGTAATCCCAGTTACTTGAGAGGTGGAAATCTGGAGGTTCATGGCCTAAGGTTAGGCCACCTAAGAAAAAAGTTCACAAGATCCTAATTTGTGTATGCCTATCATTCAGGCATTAAGACATTAATAGTAGGATCACAGTCTAGGTAAGCCTGGGTGAAAAGTAAGACCCTATTTGAAAACTAGTGAAAGCAAAGAAGACTGGAGGCATGTCTCAAATGGTTAGCACTATCTTCTCCATAAAAGAGCACACCTTTGTGGTAATCACCAAACAGACTTCTTCAAACTAACCATAAGAAAACATCAGAGGAATGCACATTGAAAAACTGGTCATAAAATACCTAAGTCATAAAATACCAAGCTAGGAGAACATAAAAGAGACCAAGAAGTTATCAGAGACTAGAGGAGACTCAGACATGACACTAAATCTAACATGCTATCCTGGATAGAATCCTGAACAGAAAAAGCACATTAGGGGCTAGGAATGTGGCTCAGTGGTAGAGTGCTTGCTTATCATACATGAAGCCCTGGGTTTGATTCCTTAGCACCACATAAACAGAAAAAGCTTAGAGTGATGCTGTCGCTCAAGAATGTGGTAGAATGTTAGCCTTGAGCAAAAGAAGTTCAAGAATAGCGCCCAGGCCCTGAGTTCAAGCCCCAGGACTGGCAAAAAAAAAAAAAAAAAGAAAGAAAAAGAAAAAAAAAGAAAAAGCACATTAGTAAAAAACAAGTAAAAATCAGATAATGTGTGGTTTAAAGTATCATGTCAATGTTAAGGGTGTAGTATTGATAATTGTACCACAGGAAATGTGAATTAACAGTGAGAGCTCATCGAATGGTATGTGGGAACTTACATTACGTTTTTAAACTCTTCTTTGAGTCTCAAATCATTTTAAAACAAGAAGTTTCTGCAGATTCTGGGGGTATGATTCTACCTTTCTAAAAAATTCCAGGTAGAGGTGAGTACTGCTGAGTAACAAGGCTTTCAGTCAATGGTTCTCAGGTTCAACCATGCATCAGTATAACTTGGAGGGTGTTTGTAACAGACACCAGACCTTACTTCCAGTTTTTGGCTCAGTGAGTCTAGAGAGTGGGGGCTCTAAGGATTTGATTTCCTAACGACCCTCTCTAGTGATGTTCCAGAAATAAGAATGGATTTTACATTTCTAAAGGCTTGTAACAATTTGTCCAAATAGGAATATGAAAGAAAGATAGTATCTGGGCATCAAAGCAACATCTTTACAGGAAATAGTTTCTGAGTTCTGGAACCTTGCAACTCATCAGGAAACTTGTAAAAGGTTTCACTGTTTGGCTGGGGGCCCAGTTCAGTAGTAGTCTTGCTTAGCATGTGTGAAGTCCTTTCAACCCTGTACACACACACACACACACACACACACACACACACACCAGTAGTAGTCTTGCTTAGCATGTGTGAAGTCCTTTCAACCCTGTACACACACACACACACACACACACACACACACACACACACACACACACACACACACACACACACACACACACACACACACACACACACACACACACACACACACACACACACACACACACACACACACACACACACACACACACACCCTCCCTAAAAGTCACCATTGCATAGGTCCACCAGAGAGATTCTTAGTTGTCATCTGGCATGAGTCCCTATTTCTGGTTTTGAAACACTCTTCATTCTGGTATTCAACCAGGCTTGAGAATTACTATTTCAGATATGTGCCTGCCTCAGAAAAAAAAAAACCCACAGATATCTAGAGAGAAGCCCCAACAAATGTCAAAGGACATTTCTGCAACTTAAGGCTTATTTTAAAAAGCTGAGGTAAGTATTTGCTAAGGTTATCAGAACCCAAACATAAAATCAGTTTGTCATTTTTTCACCTGTCCCCTTCCAAGTGATAAGAAGAAACACAGGAAGATAAAGCAATAAGAAAGGACACCAAAAAGCAAGCAAGCAAACTGTACAGAATGGTCTGAAATTGGTAGGCAAGGATAGATGGGGATGGACAAGAGGGAGGTTTCAAAGGAGATTTTTCCTGTCATGGCTGACAGAGAGCAAAGGGAAGGAAGATTGAGGGCTGAGAAATGACAGTAACATCAAGGAACTTGGAAAACATTTGAATATACTTTTAGCTTTATTACAACCCTGACATTTCTTGGTTTCCAATGTGGCCATTTTTACCATCAGCGACTTTTCTACATGAGGCCAACTGCTGTAACTCTCACCCTTTGCCTAAAACTACTATCCTGCCAGAGGAAAGCTTAGCTGGAGCAGCTCTCCTCATTTGAAGAGGCAGAGGGCCTCACCGTAGACCCTCTGTGAAAGGGCTATGTTTGGTCTCATACCTGTGCTCTCCTCAGCTTGATTGAAGCCACAGATCTGGCAGATGCTTTGCACCCACTTATTCATATCCTCCTCAGTCTCAGCCACCAGGTAAAAGGTGCGCTCACTGGTCTTGATATCAAACACAAAACTATCCTGCAGCTCTTTCTTGTTGAAGGTGAGGCCTGCATCCACTTGCTCACAGAAGTTGAGGTTGATGATCCGTAGAGGCTTTTTGGAGTGATCATTCTTGTAGTATTCCAGAACATCTGGGTCACCACTCATTCGGCCACTTCGCAGGATAAACCAGCGTTTCTTCCAGGCCTAACCCATCATAGGAGGAGCAAGAAAGGGGAGAAATGTCATTAGTAACTTCAAAGCTTTTAACAGATCCTCAGATATCATAGGTTCTGTGATATCTGCGGCTCATGGCCTATGTTTCCCTTTCAGAGTTCCCCAGTTTCAGAACAGAGGATGATGTTAGAATGTGTGTTAATACAGCATTTCGGTATAGAAACAGGGTCTTGTCATTGTAAAATGCAAAGTAGCATTATTTTTTTTTTTTAACCAGTTAGTTAGATAAGGATACTAGAACAACTATAGTTTTAGGTTAGAATATAGATCCAAACTCAGCACTTTTAGGCTGAGTAGAACATACAAAGCTGTACTATCTTAGGTTATAGTTTCTATCTCAATATATTTTTATATCTCCAATGAGTCTTGGTGACTTAACTCAAATGTCACACTGTAAGCAGCAAAAAATTCATTTTCCAGCTTTCTATAATGTGTTTTTTTCCTTAACTAAATGATGTCTTAGAGCAACCACAGAAAAATCCTTATAAAACATATCTGAAGCACAAGTCGTACTTCAGCTTTTCATAAATAGGAATCTCAAAACTAATGTGTTAAAAACTGAACTTCTGAACAAGTCGTTTAAATAAGGATACAGGTGGACCCATTGCAACAATGAGGAGTACAAGCTGTCATGTCGAAAACGAACTTTACAACTTTGGTGGGGGGGGGGGAGGATTGGGTGGGGGACCGGGGGAGGCTGGGAAGGGATGCGAAGGCGAAACAAAGCAGGAGGCTACAATGCTTGATAAGAAATGTACTCATTATCTTGCCCATGTAATTGTAACCCCTCTGTACAGTATTTTCACAATAAAAAATAAATAAAAATTAAAAAAACCCTGAACTTCTGATATTCTTCAGGCATATTCCTGCTGTTTTAATCCATTAAGGCCATTCTGGCCTTCTAGTTGCTCAGAAAAAAAACCCTCAAGGTTGAAAAAACAAAACCAGAAACCAAAAAGCGAAAATCTCAAGGTTGATTCTCTTCCTTCATCATTTACATTCCAACTATCAGCTAATCTGGAAGGCCACTAGACCTAAATTTAATCCCCAGCACCATGAAAAGGAAAAAAAGATAAAATGCTTATTTTGGCTCACAGTTTTAGTCCATGGTCAACTGATCTCTATTAAGTTCAAACAGTTCAAAATATTACCACAAACTGACCTATCTTTGTTGTTCACCTAATCTCTTCTATTGTACTGACTTCTTGCTTCTGCCTTTCCATCCACAAATATACTCAAAACAGAAGTCAGAAAGCAATATATATCAGAACCAACTTTCTGCACAAAATCTCAAATGGCTATCCATTCACTTAAAGCCACTATGTTCATAATAGTTATAGGCTTGTGCTACAGTATATGCATCTGGAATGTCTTCTGAAGATCCTATGTATTGAAGGCTTGGTCTTGGTCTTGGTCTGAGGTACTACTGGAAGATGGTAGCATCTCTAAGAGATGGGGCAGAGTGGGAGGTCTTACATCATTGAAGACATGCCCTCAAAGGGAACTGTGGGATGCTGTTCTCTTTCTCTTTCTCTCTGTCCCCTCTGTTTCTCTCCCCCCTCTGTCTCTCTTTTTCCCTCTCCTTTTCTCATCTCTTTCTTTATGTTGGTTCCTGGGCTTGGATTCAAGGCCTAGGTACTGTCCCTGAGCTTCTGTACTCAAGGTTAGTACTTTACCACTTGAGCCACAATTCCAGTTCTGAATTTTTGGTGGTAAGAGATAAGAATCTTATGGACTTTCCTGCCTGGGCTGTCTTCAAACTGTTATTCTCAGATCTCACCTTCCTGAGTAGCTAGGATTACTGGTACTGTGTACCCAGCTTCTTTTTTCTCTTTCTTAGAAAAGGTGATCAGCTTGTTCCATCATGTGCCCCTTGGTATGATGCACTGCCTCACTACAGAGCCAAAAGCAACAGGGCCTTATGTGATAGAAGTGAAGAAAATAAAAATAAGTGATCTTTACTTTTAGTCACCTATATTTGACCAGACCACTACCTGTGGAACTCTATGTACTTGAATGTACATGTGTGTGTTCATGTTGTAGGTGCATACAAACATATAAATCACTTAAATAGATTTATAACAATGAAATTGAAATGGCAATTAAAAAAATCTCCCAACAAAGAAAAGCTTTTGATGGATTATATTAAGACCTTTAAAGAAGAACTAACGCCAATACTCCTCAAACTCTTCCCCAAAATAGAAGGAGAGAGATCACTAACTCATTTTGTGAAGTCAGCATTACACTCATTCACAACCAGAGTCTCAACAACAAAAAAGTATAGAACTAATCCCTTTAATGAATACAGATGTACAACTCCTTAATAAAATACTTGCTAATCAAATCCAACAACTAATCAAGAAATTACATACTATAAATAAGTTGGTTTCATCATAGAGAGGCAAGGCTGGTTCAAAACATAAATCAGTAAATATAATACAACACATTTATAGTACCAAGGACAAGAATCCAAATGATCATCTCAATAGATGCAGAAAAAGCCTTTGACAAAATCCAACATCCTTTCATGGTAAAATCTCTGGAGAAGCCAAGAATAGAAGGAACATACCTGAGCAAAATATATGACATACCTACAGCAAACATCATAGGTTTAGATGGTGAACAACTAAAACCATTTCCTCTAAAACCAGGACCAAGACAAGGATGTCCACATTCTCTACTCCTTTTCAATACAGTATTAAACTTCCAAGCCAGAGCAATAAGACAAAAGAAAGACATTAAGAGAAGTCAAACAAAGAAGGAAGAAGTCAAACTATCCCTATTTGCAAATGATACAATCCTGATAAAAAGTGTATTTTGTACCCAAACAAATCCAATCTCTCTCTCTTTTTATTTTTTGGTGTTGGTTGTGGGGCTTGAACTCTGGGCTTGGGCACTGTCCCTGCGCTCTTCAGCTCAAGGTGAGCGCTTTACCGTTTGAGCCACAGCACCACTTCCACAATCTTATATCTAAAGGAACCTAGAAACTCTATCCCCAAACTCCTGGAGTTGATAACTTTGGCAAAGTAGCACGATACAAAAATCCAGTAGCTTTTAAGTGTATCACAATAAGCAGACAGGGAAAACAGGAAACAACACTCTTTGTAATAGTCTAAAAAAAAAAGTACCTAGGAATCAACCTAAGAAAGGAAGAATTGCTACAATGAAAACTATAAAATTTTGAGGAAAGAAAGAAGATACCAGATGATCTTCCATGTTCCTGGACTAGAATTAATATTGTAAAAATGGCCGTACTGCCAAAGGCAATCTATAAATTCATTGCAATTATCTATCAAAATCCCAATGTCATTCTTCACTGAGATAGAAGACACAGTCCAAAAATTCATATGATATCACCAAAGGCCCTGAATTGCAAAAGCAATCCTGGGCAAAAACCCACCATGTTGGAGGTACACAATTCCAGACTTCAAACTTTACTATAGAACTACAGCAACAAAAACAATTTGATACTGGCACAAAAGTAGGCCTGAAGACCAATAGAACAGACTATTAGACTACAGCTAATCAGTATTTAATGAGGGAGTAAAAAATAGCAGTTGGAAGAAAGCCTCTTCAACAAATGGTGTTGGGAAAACTGGATATCCACATGCAGAAAACAAACTGGATGAATATGTATTACCTTATAATATTAAAGACATCAGTGTAAGATATGGAACCTTGAAACTACTATAGGAAGGAGGAGAAACATTAGAATTTCTAGACATAGGCAGGAATTTTCTGAGTAGAGTCCCAGAGACTTAGAAACTCAGAGAACTGACAAATGAGATTTCACCAAGTTTCTGCACAGCAGAGGACAAAGTTACATGCTAAAAAAGATAGCCTACAGAATGGAAGAAGATCTTTGCCAGCCATATTTCAGACAAGGACTTAACATCCAGAATATATAAAGAGTTCAAGAAAAGAAACTCTTAAAGAATCACACACACACACGCACACACTCACTCTGCTATTTCACTTATCCATCAGGAAAAATAATATGTCGTTTGCAGGGAAATGGGTGCACCTGGAGAAAATGATGTTAAGTAAGTCAGGTTAAGAGAGACAAAGGATGCATGTTATATTTCATGTGTGGAAGTTAGATATAAACTCACTCTCTCTCTGTCTCTCTCTCCACACACACACACACACACACACACACACACACACACACACACACACACACACACAGAATATGTGTGTGTGTGTGTGTGTGTGTGTATGTATGTAAACAGATACAGGGTCACATGCATAGATACACAAGCATATCAATTAAAGTATTGTATATGCAGGGGAGAATGGAAAATTCCTATTGTATAACTCCTTTGTACAACTAACAGTCTAACAAAATGAATACCAAGAATGTAGACTTGTGGTCTCAAGGGGGAGGGATAAAAGAGAAGGGAGCAGACCAGTGGAGAGAGGAGGGTGGGCAAATTCATTTGTAATATTCAATGTATATATGTGGAAATGGAATACAAAATTTGAAGGTAGCCAGGTACTGATGTCTCACACCTGCAATCCTAGATACTCAGGAGGCTAAGATCTGAGGATCACTGTTCAAAGGCAGCCCAAGTAGAAAAGACCCCATGAGACTCTTAACCTCAATTAACCACTCAAATAACCAGAAGCAGAGCTGTGGCTCAAAGTGGTGGAGAACTAGCTTTGAGAAAAAGAGATCAGGGACAGCACCCAGACCCTGAGTTCAAGCCCCACAACTGACAACAAACAAAATTTAAAGGGATGGGTGGGGATGAGATGGGAGAGAATTATGAAAGAGGTAACACTGATCAAGATATATTGTAATCAAACTGACATGAGACCTCTATACTTAAAGATAATAATTTTTAAAGATAATTAAAATTTAAATTGTTATTATAAAAGTGATGTACAGAGGAGTTAGTTACATAAGTCAGGTAATGAGTTCATATTTTTCAGATGTCACTACTTCCCTTGCTCTGTCTCAATTTTACCCTCCTGTCCTACCCACAAGTTGTATAGTTCATTTTCAATATGTCTAGTGAGTACCACTGCTGCACTTGTTCACTCTTTGTCCCTCCATTTCTGTGCCCCCTTACCCTCCCAAAGACAGGTAAATGAACAAAGAAAAAGAAAACAAAAAAGCCCTCTTATTTTCATTTCCTGGAGTTCATTTCGATAAGTATTATGTCATATGATCATAGAAGATAATAGTTTTTAATAAGTAATATTATTTACAGTCACCTAAATCTGACCAGTCACCTAAATCTGACTAGGCAATGCCTTTGTAACTGTGTGTATTGAATATGCATGTGTGTGTACACGTTGTAGGTGTATACATAGATATTAGGGCGTGTGCTTGTGTGTGCCTGCTGCAGGTGTAGACAGACATGTATTGTGCATGTACCTGTTTGCATGTTGCTATTGCATACGGGCACGTAATATGCATGCTTGCACCTGTATTCTGCATGTGAATATAAAATGTGTGAGCACAACAGTACATTTTTAAAAGGTAGTGTTAAATTTAACTTGTATTTCAGGTTGATGTATCCCCTTCAGCACTTGTCTTGTTCAAAGTGGTCCCTAGATCAATGATGTGTAGCATAAACATACACAGACACCCTCATAAAGAAGAAAATGTTTGCTACAGATAACATCACAGTCAGGTACTGCTTCCAAAGAAGGGGCATGGGTAGATAAATGGCTGCCTACAAAATGCTGATAAATTTGTATCAGAAAAAGTAAGGATATCTGGTAGTCTCAAATTCACATTTTTCTTCTGTCACAACACCTCTTCAATTCTACACATAAAGAAGCTTCAAATCATTCAGATCCAATTGTAGATAACCCTAGCTTCTCTGGTTCTTTGGCTAAGATGAAGCTCCTCTGCACTTGTACTCATAGCCTCATGCTTGTTCATCTTGCTTGCTTGGCTGTTACTCTTCGACCTGAGCTATGCCTCTACAGTCCAGTTTTTTGCTAGTTATTTTGGAGATTGTTTATTATTATTATTTGGCTTGTTTTGAACTGCAGGTCTCTGGATCTCAGTCTGCTCAGCAGCTAGATTACAGTGTGAGGCACTGGCACTCATCTTGTAATCACTTTGTATGTGTGTGCGTGTGTGCGCGCGCGCTGATACTGAGGGCTAGGACTCAGAGCCTAGGTGTTGTTCCTTCACTTTTTTTTTTTTTTGGTACCAGTCTTGGGGCTGTCCCTGAGCTTTTTTGTGCAAGGCTAGCACTCTACCATTTGAATCACAGCTCCATTTCTATCTTTCTGTCTGTCTGTCTCTCTTTGTAGTTTATTAGAGATAATAGTCTCACAGACTTTCCTGCCTGGGCTGGCTTTGAACTACGAATCTCAGATCACAGTTGAGTTGCTAAGATTACAGTATAAGCTTACTAGTGTTCAGCTCCATTTTTTGTTGTTGTTGTTGTTGGTCATAGGGCTTGAACTCTGGGCCTGCGTGCTGTCCCTCAGCTCTTCAGCTCAAGGCTAATGTTCCATCACTTGAGCCACAGCGCCACTTCTGGCTTTTTCTGTGTATGTGGTATTGAGGAATCGAACCCAGGGATTCATTCATGCTAGGCAAGCACTCTACCACTAGGCTACATTCCCAGTCCCTCCAATTATTTTTGATAAAACTGCAAAAGCAACTCAATGGAGGAAAGATGGCCTTTTTGATAAGTGGGCATCCATGGGGGGAAGAAGTAGAGGAAAATCTAGCCAACGTTCATATTTACTCCTTATACAAAAATGAGGTGGGCCTGGGCAATATAGTGACCCTGTCTCAAAAACAAACACGAGAAAGGAAACCAAGAAATGGAGAGAGATAAGTCTTGAAGGAAGCTATGGCAACGGTCTACAATAGTGAGAGAAGATGGTAAGCTAAGCGAGAATAGCTATAATGGAGACAATGTACATCATTTTAATTGCAGAACTATATAGCATAGGACCTATTATGAATAAAATTACAACAAAGTATTTGTGTCTAGAATCAAGAGTACCCACCACTCTCTCTGATGAAATAAAAGTGACTGTTTTTCTCTTGTACACAAATACAGTGTAAAAACAAAATATTTCATAATCATCCAGACCACAGAGATACAAATGTGGGTACATATGAGCTGGAAGTTGCATCATTCCTAGCTGTTGAGCACAGAATCAATGTCACATGAACCTTCTCTGTTTTTGGATTAAGTCCAAAGAGCTCCAAATGTGCAGAATAAGACCACGACTTTCTCCTATTGCTCCTGTCACCTAGAAAACTAAAGTGGGCCCAAATTTAGCCTTACAATATCCAGAATGTACTAGAAATATTCCAGTGGTGATAGGACTTGCAATCCCATCATACTGGCATTTAGTGAGACTCTGTCTGGAGTCATGATCAGAGTGCTCTAAGCATAGGGGGCTGCTGACATGTGGAGGAGCAAGGTGGTCTATCTCAGATGACTCTACATACTAATAAAGTTGACCTATACTATGTCATCTAGGAAATACTATGGAAAAGCAGGTTTTTGATTTATTTTTTTAAAGAACTTCCTAAAGATCCTGTTAGTTACATCCCTGATAACAATATTTCTAAAACTCTAAAATCTTCTGTCTTGCCTTAGATAAATAATATTAGGCTTTTTAGTCTCTACATTCTTTGTTATAACAACTCAATTCTAAAGTAACATGAAAATAGCCATAGAACAGCAAACAGGTATGTCTGTGTTCCCTAAAACCATTTAGAAAAAGAGGTGGTGTAGGATTCTTTGCAGAGCACTGACCTAAGAAGCAGTGGAAAGGCTGGAGAGACTACAGAGGGAATCAAGGATTGTCTCAATAGATGGACTAGACACCAGGCACAATTTCTTCCAACTTTGAGTGTTTTTCATCCAGACAAGCTGCTATGGTAATAATTAATCACATTACCTAGAGGGATGTATTTTTTCTGAATAACCAAGTATCTAGGAAGAATCATCTATTTAGTTTAGCACTGGCAGTTGCAATTATAAAACTCCAGAACTTCTGCCCTACCATAGGTTTAATGTCACAGATAACAGACCTCTTCTTTGATGACTAATGATTTTCTCAGTGCCTCAAATTATCTTTCCAGATATGAAATCTCACATGTACTGTGGTTAGTTTTAGAAGGGTAAGGCATTTCCTGAGAGTTTTGCACAACTTCTAGAAATAGGTGTGTCTTTTTAACTTCCCTCTTTTTAATGAGGGTACAACCAAAAAGAGCTTCCAATATACCAGAAGGGTCCTGTCAAGTGAGATTCTAGTCTATCAGAATGTAATTGAGGCTACTGGATGATATCAATAAATGTAATCTATTATTCAGGTATAGTAAAAACATAACACTTGATTGTCAACAAAAGTCTACTTTAAAAAAATACTCACCAATAACCTCCGATTTTCACTCTTTTCCTAGTTAGAGAAAGGTTGGAATTCCACCTCTCATAATCACATAGACATAGGAAATTTGGTCTGACTTCTGAGTACAGGATGCATAATCATATCCTAATATATTCCAACATGAAGTATACTAGGCCAATCTTCTGTTCCATAACAGTTAAGAGCAAACATGGAGAGAGTTATTTGGAGCCATACATCAGCCACACACTTCTGGAGGAATACTTCCTGTGTGATGAAGGGCTCTGTACCATTGGGTACAGAAAGGATATTTCTTGGGCTCCTGTCACATGTTATGTGCTTTCTATCCATTTCATCCTCAAACCAGTGCTACAAGGTAAATAGAATCCCCTTTTCACAGATGAGAAAAACCAGGCTTATAGAAAGTAAACAACTTGTAGAGGTCACAGCCCAAGATCTTCTTGGGGAATATGAGTGAGGGTATAGAAAGAGCTTGAGAGAAAACTAACACAGATAAAGTACTGATGACACTGAGAAACACTGGCCATACAGTTCATGACTGGTATTCAAGTTTATGGTTAGGTAGAGACAGCAAATGACAGGACTAGAATTCAGGTCTTATCTCCTAGCCTTAAACAATCTCCACTTGGCAAAGTGACTCCTGTAGGAGAGGAAAGCAGTTACTGGTTCCTGACTCATTTATCTGAGAAATGAAGAGTCTCTGACTCCAAATGAATCTTATTTGTTCCTAGGAAACTATGAATTTTATTTTATCAAAAGACTTACAATCTGAGGTGAAGGCTTTTGTATCCCCAGCATTTAACACATACACTATATAACTCTTCAATGATAATTAAATGAAAGGCACAAAAAGGAAAGACTGCTGATTTGCTTCTCTGTTGGTAAAATTAGAAAAACAAAAACTCTCTACATTTACTCTGTTAATGTAACACCATTCACATCCTAGGTAATACCATAGTATTACAGATGCTGTAGACACACAAAGGATCCCCAAGAAAAGCTCACATCCTTTATTAAAGCTGATTCTAACTACAAGCTGCAGATCCTGGAACCTTCAATTAAAACAGTTACCATATTCCATCCTATAGGCCACAGTGTTTGGTGTTGTGATGGGCACACAATTCAAATCCACTTAATGCTATGAAGATTCAACTCTAGGGTCTTTATTTCTGTATTCGAATGGGGATTTGTCAGTGCACTTAAGGCTGTGATGACTCTGACCTGAAGTTGTAGACACCCCTATTTCAAGCCTAAGAACAGTAATCTAATCATAGCAGAATTCAAAGATGGATCCTGAAGATAGATGAGCTGGCACAGGGTGAGGCAGGAGGATTTTGAGTTGGAGGCCAGCCTGGGCTACACAGTCAGACCCTGTCTCATTGTAGTGGTGATGGTGGCAGGACACAAATGGGAAACAGGTCATGATGAAATGTGTCCTAAATTAATTTAATTCTTCAGACAAGTCTTCCCCTTAGACCTTTTGGCCTAGGTAACTCAGTAAATTCTCATCTCATTTAAAGCAATCTCGGCCATTACCTAATCAAAATAAGCTTTAACTATGGGTTCTAAACTAAGAACCAGGACAAGTTTGTTACCTCAATAGTAACAGAAGTCCTTTCTGGGTGCCCGGACTATATTTATTATTTAATTCACTTTCTGTTTTATTCACTTTCAATTTCTTCTCACCAATACAACCCCTTCAATTAAATCAACATTTAGCAGATCTACTAGTGTTAAGCCCTTATGGACCTCATGGTATACACCAGGGACAGAGAAGTGCAGCCCACAGGTGACTCAGTACACTTAAGTTGGTCCTCAAATAGTGATGTGAAGCTGAGTGCTTGGATCACACCTATAATTGCACACTAGGCTGAGATCTGAGGATCGAGGCATAAAGCCAGCCCAGGCAGACAAATCTGAGAGAATCTTATCCCCAAGAACCACCAAAAGCTAGAAGTAGAGAAATAGTTCAAATAGTAAAACACCAGGAGTGAGTGAAAAAGCTGAGCAAAAGCACAAAATTGGAGTCAAGCCTCTGTACTGGTGTGCATGCATGTGTAGACACACATACATGCAGTGTTCTTGCTCCAGTGTTCTTGGAGTAAAGTAGGGAAAGAACACAAGGAGGAAGATAAAGTACTGCTCATGAAATAATGGCAATTTGGACCAGGGCAGTGGCAAAAGCATATACATTCAACACGTATTTCAGAGACTGCATTGACTAATCCTGGTGATAAACTAAATATGGGCATGCAGGTAAAGGAAGAGTAAAGAAAGACTCCAAAATTTCCAGCTTGAGTTAGTAGGTGGGCTGTATCATGACTTACTATGGGGAAGAGAATCACAGTTCTATCTCTCTGAAGAGGCTATTATGAGTGCACTTTATCCATTCTACTACATCAAAGACAGAGGGACAGGATGAATTTGTCATGTGTGAGGGGTAGAAGGTCACATCTGGGAAACCAAATAGCCTGTATCAGTAATTACATTGATGAATTCTATGAGATTGATTCCCCAAAGATCAGGTCAACCTTTCTGCAGAGAACTCAAAATCCATTAGTGGAATTACCTTTCCCATTGACAAAGCAACTATGAGCTGTTGTCAACCCTTTACATTTTTGGAGAAACAAAGGTCATTCCATTGGGGGACCTCACTTTAATGTTCTTGAATAATCAGATTTAAGTTATATTTAAAGCACTGAATTAATCAAAGGTTACTAGGGAAACCTGGGCAAAGTTGGATAAAGAGTAGACAAATAATGTTGACTACATTATTTCCTTGAAAACAAAGGCTCATGTCATTCTCTTCTCCCTAGACCTGGTTTTCTTAAATTCAACCTGACTTTGTTTCATCCTTATTTTAAGTCCTTTCTTACCTGAATATTGTCTTTATAGTGGCATTTAAACTGTACTATGCATCAGAATCATCTGCTCAAAATATAGCTGCTTAGTACCAATACAGTATCAGACTCAATAGGTAAGAAGTGGAGTCCAGGGATAAAAAAAATGTCCATGGACTCCATTTTGAGAAACACTGCACTGAACTGCTAATGATGGCTGTTGGGATGTGGCTGTGACTTATTGAGCACAATTGGAGGATAACTTGATCAGAGTTTAGAGATTCCTGCTCTGTTCTCTGTTCCTGGCTATGTCGGTGTATATAAAACACCAGCCTGGTGTTGGCTTTCTTAATTTCTGACATTTAAAGAAATTTATCGGTAGGTATCTGGATTTTACTGAGTCATATCTCTAGAATTACAAATATACATCAACAAAAGCACAGAATCTTGTGGAGAACTTGGTACCACCCACTTGAGGCCAGTACACAAATTTGCTGATCATGGGCAGACATCATGGAATGCTGCTTCCACCACAGATAATGAACTGGGCATGGCGTCCTACAGGAGTCTGACTTTTTCTCTGTTCACAACATTCAATAAAACTGCAGGGGAATCAGTCAAAGGATAGAAGAGACATTGAATCTAATTTCAGATTAAATGATGTTTTCAAGTAAATGGCCTGTCTGAATCTGAGGAGTCCTGGAGTACACATAGCTGAAAAAGTATTCCTATATAGAGTCTTTTCGGTAGCCCCTCTGAATGATTGAAAAGGCTTTTGTTTAATACAGAAAGTCAGATACAGCATTAGAAGATTAACACAGAGCTGACCCCGCTATTTCTGGCTTATTTGAAAAGAAAAAGGAAACCATGTGAGAGGTCAAAATTTGTATGCAATATACATCCATCGTAAGATTTCAGATAAATGAATTCTGTCAAATAACAATCATTACAATCAAGACAGAATATTCTTTCTCCCCCAAAAGATCTCTGTACCCTCCATCTTGATTCACCACCCTAGCCCCAGGCACCTACCAATCTATTTTCTGCCATTATAGATCATATTTATCTTTTCTAGAGTACCAAAAATGGATTAGAATGTATTTGCTAATGTCTGCCTTTTTTTGGCACAACATAAAGTTTTTATGATTTATTCATATTGTCACATCAGAAGTTTATTAAATTGCTGAGCAGTATTTGATAAAGTACCATTTTTTTATTCAATCACATATTAAGGAGAAATTAGATTATTTCCAGCTTGGAGCTACTATGAATCAATTAACTAGAAACAATCTTTTACACTTGTTGTGAACATTTTTTCTTGGCTGAATACCCAGGAGTGAAATGGTTGGGTCACATAGTGAGTGTAAAAAAGGAACAACCAGATTGTTTTCCAAAACAATTAGTATCCCTTTCCCCCATTCTGATATACAGGAGAATCCCAATTCCTTTATCAGACTTTGTCATTATAGTAATTTTGGGAGTTGTCAGTGGTATCTTACTGCATTTCAAATGTGTATTTCTTTGATGATTACAGATGTTGAGTTATAAGAATCTTTTAGCCCGGTGTTGGTGGCTCACGCCTGTAATCCTAGCTACTCAGGAGGCTGAGATCTGAGGATGCTGTTCAAAGCCAGCCCAGGCAGGAAACTCTGTTAGGCTCTTATCTCCAATAAACTGCTCAGAAAACAGGAAGTGGTGCTGTGGCTCAACTGGTAGAGCGCTCGCCTTGAGCTGAAGAGCTGAGGGATAGCGTGCACCCAGGTCCAGAGTTCAAGATCCACAAGCGACAGAAAAAAAAAAAAAAAAGAATCTTTTATATATCCTGAATAGAATCCACTGTAAGTTTTTTTTAATTTTTTTTTTTTTTATTGTGAGAATACCATACAGAGGAGTTACAATTACATGGGCAAGATAACGAGTACATTTCTTTTTTTTTTTTTGGGTCCGGTTGTAGGGCCTGAATTCTGGGCCTGGGCGCTGTCCCTCAGCTCTTCAGCTCAAGGCTAGCGCTCTACCACTTGAGCCACAGCGCCACTTCCGGATTTTTTCTTATGTGGTGCTGAGGAATCGAACCCAGGGCCTCAGGCTTGCAAGGCAAGCGCTCTACCACTGAGCCACCTTCCCAACCCCAACAAGTACATTTCTTATCAAGCATTGCTGCCTCCTCGTTGTTTCCCCTTCCCACTGTAAGATTTTATATATATACACACATACACAAGCACAATGGGAGGAGGAGGAGGCTATATTCTCTCAAATCTGTAGCTTTCCTTTTCATTTTTTATTTAAATTTTTATTTAAAAAATTTTAAGTTTTTATTTTTAAATTACAAATAATCGAATATCTTCATTTCACTAATGATCTTTTGTGTGTGTTCACTGATACTGGAGCTCAAACTCAGTGGCCTATGCTTGCCTGCTCAGCATCTGGTCTTCTACCACTTGAGCCATATGTCTAGTTCCAATTTTTTGCTAGTTAATTGGGGATGAGAGTCTCAAGGATTCCTCTGCCTAGGTGGCTTCAAATGTGACTCTCACATCCTCAGCCCCCGAGTAGCTAGGATTATAGGCATGAGCCATCAGCACCTGGCTTACTTTGTTAATGCTATCTTTTGAAGAAAATATGTTTTTCATTTTGATGAAAAATGAAAAATAGTCCAGGTTTTTTATGCTGTCTTATTTATCTAAAAAAAATCTTAGTCTAGTTAAAGATTTTCTGCTTTTTTTTTTGAGTAGAAAATGTTCAATTACAGCTTTTATGCTTATTTAGGATCCATGTTTTATGTAGAGTGTAAAGTAAGAATCATGGTTTATATATTTTTCCTTATGGTTATCCGGCTATTCTAGCAACATTTATTGAACAGAAATATGTTTTCTTTATCAAATTATCTTTGTATTTTTGTTAAAATCAGTTGGTCAAATATATGTGCATTGGTTAGACTCCTGTGATATTTTCCTATGATCTCTTTATGTATACTTAAAGTCTTAAAGTGATATGAGTCCTCCAAGTATTTTTAACATTGTTTTGGTTATTTTAGGTCATTTGTATTTTTATACAAATTTTAGAATCAGCTTTTAATTTTTACATGCAAAAAATGTACTGTGGTTTTTAGAGGATTACATTGAATCTTGAGACCAATTTGGGTATTATCTCTTCCCTATATGTTGGACGGAATCCATCAGATAAGCCATCCATGCCTAGATTTTTCTTTTCAAAAGTTTAAAAATCAGAATTAAATTGTTTTAAAATAGATAATGAATGTTATTTTATTTTAGTAGAGTTATTCAGATATTTACTTTTTTGTGCCTTTTTTCTTTTTGAGATACAGTCTAAATATGTAGCCCAGGCTAGACTAAAACCTGAGACCTTTCTGCCTCAGTCTCCTGAGTCCTGGGATTACACAAGTGTGTGGTGGATGGTATCTCTTTGACATATTAGTTTTTCCATTTCATAAAAGTTATAACATTTATTCAGGTTAAAAAAAATTACCATTCTCCTGAGTGGTCAGTTCCCAATTCCTATTCCTGAGCCTCTGGCTAATCCATCATCTTTTTTGGGGGGCTGGTCGTGGGGCTTGAACTATCGGCCTGGGCGCTATCCCTTACCTCTTCAGCTCAAGGCAAGCACTCTACCTCTAAGCCACGCTGCCACTTCTGGTTTTCTGGTGATTTACTGGAGATAAGAGTCTCACGTACTTTTCTGCCCAGTCTGGCTTTGAACCTCGATCCTCAGATCTCAGCCTCGTGAGTAGCTAGGATTTACAGGCGTGAGCCACCAATACCCGACTCCATCATCTTCTTAATGTCTATATGATTGATTGTAATGAAAGGCTGAACAATTTTTGGTATATTTTATTTTAGCAAAGACACAATCCCAGTGCAGTGAAGAGTGGTAATTACATGACAGTCACAAAGAGAACAAGGAGTGGAATCTTTTCCCAGAAGTTTATTAACCAGGTTCCTTGTTGCTTAATAGCATTTTTCAACCTTTCTTTTTTTGGGGGGAGAGGGTGGTGGTGATATTGAAGTTTGTACTCTGGGCCTCATGCTTGCTAGGGAGGTACTCTTCCCACTGAACTGTGGGCCTCCAACCCTGTTTATATACAATGGGGTTTTGAGACATGGTCTTATTATCCACTTGTGTTACATTGCCTGTGCCACCAAGTTGCCCTGTCCAGTTCTCCATTCAGAGGATAATATCACAAAAACTTTTCTGTATGAGCTGGTTGTGAACCACAGTCCCCCAATCTCAGCTTCCCAAGAAGCTAGGATTACAAGTGTGAATCCATCAGTGCTAGACGTCAAAAGCATCCACATAAATATGTAATTTTCTTGGTATGGTATGAGATAAGAAAATGTCAAGTCAAAACTGCCCAGGATAGCATTCCAGGGGCCTTCTTTCACTTGGTTACAAACTGTTTGCTGAAATTTTTAGCATTGTTTTTTAACATTCCCTCCTTACATTCTTTTTTTTTTTTTGGTTGGTCATGGGGTTTGAACTCTGGGCCTGGACACTGTCCATCAGCTCTTCAGCTCAAGGCTAGCGCTCTACCACTTGAGCCACAGCGCCACTTCCAGCTTTTTTCTGCTTATGTGGTGCTGAGGAATCGAACCCAGGGCTTCATGCATGTGAGGCAAGCACTCTACCACTGAGCTAACTTCCCAGCCCCCCTCCTTACATTCTTATTCTCAGTCCCCAAACATCCTAAATTCCAGAGAGCCCTGCAATTTTGTGTTTTTATGATGATCTCGATCAACATCCTATTAATCCCCCAAGAGTCTACTCAAATACCCAATGACTTTCCTTACTGTCTCTTTAGAGGTGGGTACTGAAGAAGGTAACTCTCTTTTCCTGATCTGAGCTGATTATCACTGAGGACCCAGCTCTGATGAATTCTCTGAATTATAAATTCTCCTTTTATATTATCAAACTTACTTATGATAAGGGCAAGGAAGAGTCTGTGATCATCATGATTATTTTTCAGATCAAAGAGCAGAAGTCTAGAAAATGGGACTAACTTATTAAACACAAAGTCTGGGTAGGACTAGGATAATTTTTACCACACCATGTACCATTACCTTGTCTTTTTTTTTTTTTTAAAAGGTAGGACCCAAAGCCTTTTCATTCTAAAAAAAGATTTGTCTCTTAAGTTGTAAAAACTTCCTAGGTCTACACAACTTGCATCTACATTAAGGTATAAAGACGATACCAGATTGGAGAGGATTTTGGACAGAGAGCTCCACAGAAGAGGGGAGGTGGCATGGGAAGATTCTAGATGCCTTCAAGTCTTTTCTATAACCTGGTAATTTAGCATTGCCACTTCAGTGGTTCAGAGTTATCTCAGTGTGAAGGTAGATGCTAATATATTCAGGCAATATAGCACCAGGACCTTCCTTTTCATCTTTACAAGTAAACAATTACACGATCTTTTTTTTTTTTTATTTCGTATGAGTGAACAATGCAGCTGAATAAATATTAGACTTGAAACTTAACTTTCGTTTTCCTTGGTTTTTGTGTGTGCAAACACTCTGAACTCTATGCTCAGCCTGAAACTCATCTTGAGGCACTCTTAATTGTGAGGAATAGGTCCCCTTTGCAGCCCTGGACACATTTCTAGTCTCACTTTCTTCTAAGACTCCAGAGT